GTAGCTTGCCTCCACCAGTGTGTGAATGAATAGTGGTATTGTAAAGCGCTTTGGGTGCCTTGAAAAGCGCTATATAAATCCAATCCATTATTATTATGATATATTTCAACAGATGATATTATTGTTTCATGATATTATTGATATTATTATATCAATCAGTACATTTACATTGCTATACAAATGCAGGCCATTTATTGTTTCAGGATTTACACACAATCCAGTGTATAGTGCAGTTCAGTTGCACAAGCTGAAATACATTTATGATTTATAATTTTAATAAATGCACACTTATCATTCTAGTTCTGGTTAAAAAGAGTATTAAACTGAAAGCTGCATAACTACCAATAGCAAAAATATTTCTAAACAAAAAAAGAAAACATAAACACATAAATCCTTTCAGTTGTCGTGCCTCCTGTTCTTTTACATTCAAAGGGCAGGCAGCTTTGTTAAGTAACCGATTACTACAGGAGAGCTTATTACTTGTATGAGGCTTTTTTTGTTAAACCCATCTTTTAGCTAAGGGCAACTTTGCTTGAGGCACAATCTGTAAACAACATTTCATAATGGGTTGGTGTGTCAGCCGTATCCATAGTAACCACTTTGGTATGTGTGCGTGTGTGTGACGATGCACTCACAGCCATCATAGATGTCAGTGGGAATGTGGACAGCCGTGTGGTTGTAGTCAGTCAAACGTTTAAACGAGGGGTCCTCTTGAAAGTCTGGTCGAATCCTGTTCTTTCTTCCCTCTGTCTCATTTGCATCCAGCTGAAAGGGGAAAAAAGATTCAAAGCACTATCTATGGCTGTTCTCACTATAGGTTTAAAAAATCATAGCAGACATCTTTATGTCAATTAATGAGGCACATTGCACATATATGACATGGTTTGTTGGTCTCCATAAAAACGAAAGACTTTACAACAGCCTGAACGCACATTCTCAACAGCTCATCGCTACCATAATAACAACATTGCTGCACTTTTCACACCCTGCATGCTTTAAAAAAAACCCTGACTGTTTACGTGATGATGTCTCGCTTTTTTTCATTTTATCATCTTCATTTGGGAGGAGGAGCCGGAGACACTCAGATTGTTTATGCCCCTTGTGGAGATTTATAACTCCTGCCGTGCATTTGCCAATTTACATCAATGAGAGCAGTAGAGACAGGGAGGAAAAGATGAGATACCGATGAACGAAAGCAGGGTAGAGAGGGGCCGAGGTAGTGAGGTGGTGAGACAGGCAGAGGGGGAGGGAGAAATGGTGCGAACAGTTGCTTCCTAATAAAGCAAGAGCCTAGCCAGCTCATACATCTCATCTGTCAATTAGAGGAGAAACATGGCAGAGACCTCTTCACCTGAGAGAGGCTGGAAGGAGGGATGACAGAGAGGTAGCTACATGGGAAGAAAAGCTCCAAGAAGCAGCAAACTGGGGGGCTGCAGTACAGAGCTAAGACGATAAGAGAAAGCGGGGGTGAAAATGTGGTGATTTTTGCAGGAGTAAAATGAGGGAGATGAGGGAATATGAGGCAATGAAGGCGGGGTGGGGGTGGGGATGCTGTGTAGCAAAAGCACATTCATGATGCATGTATGACCTATGTGTTTGCAGGGGCTCAAAGAGAAAGAGAATAAATTAACAGAGGAGGGCAAAAAAGCACACTCACATTGTCCTTTGCGTTGTAGTAGGCAATTTCATCATCCTGTAAACAAGTGACAAAGAAGCACAAAAAATGCTTTTTGGATGCTTCAGGGTGTTGCACAAAGAACCCTAACATTTATGCAACTATTAAATATTTGATCAATTTCTAAGCAGTTCTTTATTTTGCCATTTGTTCATTCTATTATTTAGTTAAAAAAGATACTAGTCTGTGTTTTTGCTTAAATAAATAAGGTATGGTCATATTTCACCATGTCCCTCTGTCCCTGCAGCCATTTGCAATGCTCCAGGTAAGCATTTTTTGCCTCTGAGATAGCAATGTAATAACTGCCTCTGTGACAAGTATTTTTCCTGAGCATTGCTTTTTTCTCTTATATAATTGTTTGCCACCCGGGTTGTTAGAAGGCAAAGCATCTGTCATTGAGAATGAGGGGCATGTATCATAACACAGTGTATAATGAGCAATAAACCAGTTAACAAAAGGAACTGTACTCACTGCTAATGATGGATGCTGAAAACATGTAAAAACTATTCACACAATCAAATTATTCTAAGTCTAGCAAACTTAGACTACATGCATCACCATTTGTGTATCTGTGCGTATGTAGCTATACTATAAGTGCTAGAGGGTAGGAACACAATGTGATATTATCACAATTATTCACTCACAAAACAATAATATTAGTATGATTTTAACATTGTGCAATATGTAGAGTATTGCAGTAGTGATTAATCAACATCAAATTTTGTCCTCAAACTTTGTCACTATCAGATTTATCCAATAAGATAAATTGGATTTCACTTCAGATATTTTTTTTAATTTAATTTTATTTATTTATTTAATTTATTTATTTTTTTGGCAAAATGAGATTATAAAGCATGCCAACACTATCACTAAAGCCTGCGGTAAAATGTTGCCATAAGAAGAGGTTAGTTATCTGTCTGAGATCGAATAGGTTGATGTTGGCTGCATGAACGTCACATGCACTCCGTTTCTGGTAATGCACCAGTTAACTGTGATAAATCGTAGAAAATCACAAAATCTGTTGTTGTCTGCATAGACAGAAATTCACATTTAACCACTACACTTGCGCTCAGCAACCTTGCTGTTCTATAAATACAACCAGCTGGCAGCCAGTTGAGTCAAGTCCCCTGAAGTTGTGCTCACTGACAAAGACTCATTCAAACTGATGCCAATATGATGGCAATCTGTCTGCATTTATAAATTAGATGTGAATTATTTGAAAAGCGTCAATCAAAAATGGTCATTACTGTGCCACACCCTCAAGCTCTGGGCAACAATTAAGTCACCCTTAGTTGAAATCGGCAAAGGAATGTGAACAATTACCATACAATTACCAGGCAGCCATTAATTTTTGTTTGGTTGCTGCCCTATTTTTACTTTTATGGCTGAGTCATTAGCCTTTTCTGAATTAGGAGGTAGGTTTGTTGAGCTAAATGTTTCCAGTGTCCAGACAGTTTTTCACAACCTGTTAATGTAGGTTTGCTCAGCTAATGTTATCTCAGGATAATGGTGCATGAGACAAGTCATCTTGTTTCCCAGACAGCTAGTATTCCCAGAGTATTTTAATTAATTTAATCAAATATAAATATTTAGTGTCCCTGTATCGATATATTATCCCCATCCTAAATACAGCAGTACTATGCTGTATCATTTTTTCATCCATCCCTAATAGATAGCACATAAAAAACACATATAAAC